CTCCCCCTCATTGGCCGCGCGGGCTCCGCGTCCCCTTCTCCATCTCGTGCAGCGCTGGCTCCACGTCCCCTTCTCCATCACGTTTGCTGCCGCGCTCCCGGGGAACAGCCTCCTCCTCGCAACCATCCATGCCACACGCAGCCTCCACCAGCCCATGCACCTCCTCCTGGCCACCGACGTGGGCCTCTGCACCACCGTTGTGCCCAAAACACTGGCTGTCGTCTGGTTCAGCCTTGGGGACATCGGCTTCAACACCTGCCTTCCTCCATGCCTTCCAAGCCACCAAGTCGGGTGCGCTTTTAGCCATAGAATCATAGAATGATTGGTCCATAGAATGAAGGTCCATGGCCTTGGACCACGTCGTGGCCACCCGCACGGGGACACTCCGCCGTCCCCAGCAGCCGGGTGCTCGGCGCCATCGGCCTCCTCGTGCTGCTCAGGTCAACGCTCCGCGTTGCGCCCACGGCTTTCCTCACCGGAGCACCCTCATCGCTCGCTCCCACCATGAGCCCATGGTCATGGTGATGCTGGGAGCCGTCAATGTCCGCGTCAACAAGGCCTACGGGCTCTTGGTGGCCTTGGCCATCCTGGGCTCCGACCTGCTGCTCATCGCGCTCTCCGTGCTCATCCTCGGGGCCGTTTTCCGGCGCGCGCGGCTCAAGGCGGTGCACACGTGCGTGCCGCATCTCCGCGTCTTGCTGGAGTTCTATGTGCTCGGCTTCTCCTCTTCCTCACCCACCGCTTCGGACACAGCGTCCCCCCCTACGTCCGCATCCTCCTCTCCAGCTTCTACCTCCTGGTACCCGCCGCGCTCAACCCGCTCGTCTACGGCATCGGGAACGCAGCCATGCGCCAACGGGTGCGGAGGACGATGGGGCTCATAGAATCATAGAATGCTTAGGGTTGGAAGGGACCTCTAGGGATCACCCAGTCCAACCCCCTGCACACGCAGGGTCACCTAGAGCACGTGGCACAGGACTGCGTCCAAGCGGGTTTGAAGATCTCCAGAGAAGGAGACTCCACAACCTCTCTGGGCAGCCTGTTCCAGTGCTCTGGCACCCTCACTGGCAAGAAATTTTTCCTTAAGTTCCTGTGGAACTTTTGGTGCTTCAGTTTGTGGCCGTTTCCTCTAGTTCTGTCGGTGGCCATCAGTGAAAAGAGGCCGGCCCCATCCTCCTCACTGCCTCCCTTGAGGTA